AGATTGAAAAATTGTTTGTGAATAATTCATCTGAACATACCAAATCGATAAGATAAGAAACTCCGAAGTTATTTCAGTTTGGAGTCTGACTTTCATTGGTACACCGGCAGTGTCGAAACATTGATCTTTGAACAGCTATAACTTTTTTTAGGGACATTCTAGCAAAACACATCCTTGGGCAAAGTTGTTAGGCACTTCCTGGACCATACTTAGACGTAGATGCGTGGTTTTCCCATACAAATTTCAAATATAATGCGGAAAGGCGGGCTACAACCTTTCGTCCCCAAATTTTGCACATTTGTTTAAGACCCCAAATGGAACCCAAAAAAAAAACATTGTTTTGAAAAAATGATCATGATGACCCATCCTAATGGTCATTCAAGAGAAATCGACATTCAAAGTAATTGTTTACGTTTCGAGATATACCCTTCTGACATGTTTCTCCTGAAATCATCATACAAACAATACTCCGAAGAGACTATCACATCATGCATTCGAAGTATAAAAGCAGGAAAATCGGTATATGCAGGATGCAAACAATTCGGGATACCCATCTCCACCATTCGATATACACACTTAGTTTTTTCTACCGAGCTCGGCTGTGCAAATCTCGCAAAAAAAAGTTTTACTGAGATCTCAACAAAAGTGACATTTGATTGCTGAGTCTCGGATAATGCTTAGCTGAATCTCAGCAAACAAATCAAATGTTTGCTGAGATCTCAGTAAAACTTTTTTTGACGATCTTCGCACAGCCGAGCTCGGTAGACAAAAATAAGTGTGTAGGCTAAGCGGACATGGCAACAAAAAATTAATCGTGGTCCACACTCGGTTTAAACAACAAAATAAGAAAATAAAGCACTGATCTTCAACAGCACAGAAATTGTGTCCGTGAAGTTGCATGAGAATAATCGACCAGGTATAATTTTATTATTAGACCAGTGATTACCAAAATGTGAAATTTTCAATGTTGCAGGACGAAATGGCTTTTTTTGCGATGCAATCCTGGATTTTCTCTCCTAACACCGGAACAAGTGTCATCAACAACTGGGCGAGTAACCGAAAATGATAATCGGTGTTGGTGTGAGTCAGTGGACAATTGATGGTTGATGAAGAATAACTTGTGTGAAGTACTGGAGGATCCGACACCAGTAATTGAAAACAACATTTCACCTAAATGCACATTTTAAATAATTATTAGCGCTCTTGAAATGTGTAATGAAGTCGCGTTTATCGAAAAGTTGAAAATATGTATTTTTATGTTTATAGCGCACCATTATTGTATTTTTAAATTTGTCTATTTTAATTGTTTCATAAATTGCAGCTTTCAGTAATCTCTATAACAAGATATAGAAACGTATGTAAATTAATAATCATTATCATTTAACCAAACTAATTCAATGTTTTGGTCATAAATCAGCTTCGTTTGCTATTCAGAATGACTATTTTCAATGTACAACCTCAGTATAACCATATTAGGATCACACGTGAAGCGAATAAAGGAACCATATGGCTATAATAGGTACCCTGAAGAAGTATAATTATCTTTATTATAAGTCAGTTTTATCCATCAATCCTTTATATTAGATAGGTTTATTGAGACATTCAGCTTCACTTATTAGTATGATGTATGAAGTCTTACAAATTAATGCAATAGATTGGTCTAATTATTTGATTTTGACTGGCATACTATAGCCATAATCATGCTTGGCATACACAGTTGTAAACACCAACTGCTCATTTATTAATAACTTTTCTCTCAGTTGTTGAAATTTGTGTTTCTTTAAAGTAATTGGTAGATTAGGATCATAGTTAACTATAAATATGCAAAGAGCAGGTAAATCTTAACATTTGAATCAACGCCAATGATTTTTTACATGTAAAGTACGAGATGTGCAGCGAGCATTTCTCACTTCATTTTTACAACGCAAAAACAAATACAGTTTATTACTAGAATCAAAATCTACTTGTTTTTACGTATCTATAACAAACTTAAACTCTATTCTATCTACTGCTTCAAAAATAACTATGTTACGTCAACTGTGTGCAAAGTTATCAGCAAATGAGCAGTTGGTGAGTGCTAGAAATACTCAGAGGGAGAGATGGGTGCAGAGAATGTTTTGAGCCAAATGAACTGTCAAAATCTGAGCCAATCGAACATTCCAATTAGAATTTTCCTAGGATTTCTTATTCTTACTAAAATAAATTTGAGAGTATTGCAATCGAACAGAAATTCAATCACGTTTATGTTTTGTGTGCTTCTCAAATTCAACTAGTTTTTGGAACTAAAAACAATATTCTAACTCTATTGTTTAATTGATATTCGTTAGTTAATTCATGGCATCAAGAAATGTGCAAAATATTGCGATTCAATCAATTATTATTTTGCAAGTTAATCGAATCAAAAATAAAAGTCATTTGAAATGCCAGCCTCTAGCAAGGGTTACAAGATAATTTAGGAATAAATCCCTGCTGCCGAATTGTATTTTGTTTTCTCCGCCTATCTCTCCCTCTGAGTATTTCTACCTAAAAGTAAAATAGTTGTAATCGGTTAGGGGAAAAGTTGGCTTCGGCAATACCTTAACCTATTATCTTCAGGGGGTAAACAACGTCCTTGAGAGCTCAATTTTGGCATGTGAATACATTGTGTTTCAGAGCAACTATTGGCCAAATTTGAGTGCTCTAAGACTTTGTTTACCCCCTGACGATAATAGGTTAAGGTATTGCCGAAGCCAACATTTCCCCAATATCATGCCGATATAAGAATTAACTTCTCCAAAGGATCATCACCCGTCGTTTCAAACCTGTTCTGCACTCTCATTGGTGGAAAAATAACAGCACAGTGAACAACAAATAATCAATTAGCTGTTATCGAGTAATTAAAAAATGTGTTACCTCTGATTTTGGTATGATTGTTTTGATAAAAAAAAGCGCAAAATTTCAACTCTACCGAAAGAGCACCATAATCACAAAAACACCTAGCATACGAGCATACGAGGGTATTCATTGTATGATAGGGACCGAAAAAGAGGACACTAAAATCCGTTTCATCTTAGTATTCTTCTTTCAGTTTAGTGCAAAAGGGATCATTTACCAACCAATATGCCATACCAAATCTGAATAATTTGCTTCAGTGGATAAAGCAACCACATTTTACCGTCATAGGTAGTGCTATGTAAACAATGCCTTCTCTCGGTGATTTCTAGAAAGTTAAGGCTCGCCCACGCAAATCAACATCATCATGGCTTTAGAGGAAGATTTCCCCTACCCGATGGTTATGATGATTTGCGTGGACGTGCCTTGAATTCTTAGAAATCACCGAGAGAAGTCATTGTTTACAAAAGCTGTTTCGCCCTAATTCCAGCTCTATCTAGAATTCACAGTGACTGTGATCTCTATCGGTGGAATACATGTGATAATAAATATAGATCGGCTAGTATCTAATTATCAACTTAATCCACTACCATAATCGCTTTTCCTCGGCAGATACTCGTGCTGATTAGTGCAATGACAACAATGCCCCTTTCCAGAAGAATGAAACAGAACAAAACCGTAACCACACCATACCCACTCACACTCATCTTGACCGCAAGCAACTCAAATCATTATCGATCTCACTCTTCCACACTCACTCACCTAATTGTTTCTCAGCCGAAGAGTGTGTACACTCGTCGTATCACTTCACATCCCTATGGCCACCAATTGGAAGAGAACCCCGCCAACCATGACCATCGGCAACATAAAATCGCGAGCGCAGGGGCCAATTTCGACATCACTCGCTGGGGTGGCAAGCCTAGGGCAGCAGAACTGCAGTGAGGTAGCGTCCGTCCGTCGGTACAACGGTACCGTAAAACATCAAACAGATCTGCGCGCAACCTGTTTTCTCTCTTTCAAACGAAATGAACTGGCAAAGAACAGGATGGCATGGCAAGCGTGGAGGTCTGCCATCCGTACGTTTGCTGCTACCAGGTCTTTGAACTCGAGCGGCTGCCAGGCAAGAAACGCTTCCTACGATGTCTGCTCTTTTGCTAATCGTCCCCGGTTCGCGAAGTTCAAGTAGAAGAGTTTCGTCGGTTTCGGCCGAGAAATTACCGGAAGTCGAGCTGGTGTAGAGCTGTATCATGAATGGCGTCCTTAAGTCGGTTTGTTGACCCTTGGCTGCGGTCGACGCGACGGCAAAACGTCTTTTGAGAAAGAGAGAAGTGAAATTCATCCCCTCCAGATTGTAACAGAGCGTCAGAAGTGCGTGCAGGTTGGTGGTCATCTCGAATTTCGGGGTTCGTTCGCGTTCGGTGCTTTTGAACTCAGAGTGGCGTGCTACGATGGTAGTCTTCTCGAAAATGAGCGTTATCGGTGGCAGCCACCCATGAACCTGAGAAGGTATCCCTGGGCAACGCACTGGGCTACCGTGAGTTACGACACCATGCTTCCCAGTGTCCATCGTATGGTGATTGTGGTCTGCTAAGAACTTTTAACGTGGAAGGCCCCCTCCTGAGACGAAAAGTCTCGCAGAAGAGTGGTCCCCTTGAGCGACTTGATTGGACGCCGCCTACTACTAGAGCGAGTACGCACATGAAACCAACAAAGTAGGATTGCCGCTGGTTCGATAGCCATTCCCGAAAGATCCCATCGCTTCGTGGGATGATTCATTTTCCAGCAAATTTAAAATCGATACACCAAGAACCAAGAACGCCGTGCAGGTGGAATTTCATGGACGGATTCTAAAACTGAAGACTGGCTAGTTGGTGATATCGAAGCGGAACCGAAACCGTTGCTGTGGTAGAAGAAAATAATGGGAAGTTTGTTTTGCTGTTCTTTTATCGGTGACCTTCTATTTTGTTAATTGTGTGTACCTCTACCTACCTCTGAGAATGAATGGATTTCGCACGGTTGGTTGTAAAAGAGTGTTTTGAATTTACTTGGTAGGCAGAATTTTAATTTTGATTTCAAACGGGTGTGTTGTAGTTGTGAACTAGCCATTAAAAAACGTTTAAAATTTCAGATTATCTCATATTCTCCTTGATCCAATCGACATAGCTGGCCACATTTGTAAAAATGGCCGGTTTCTCCTCCATTCCGCAAGGAACCGCTCCCCACGAAGCCACACCAACTAGCACCGGATTTCCGCCTTCCTCATCGAACTTGACAAGTGGGCCACCGGAATCTCCAGAGCACACGCTTCGAGATCCATCCCGCGGTCCAGCACAGATATTGGACAGGGCGTCTGGATCACCTTCCTGAAACCAGTATTTGTAGCACGTTCGGAAATCCACTATTGGGAGCACTGCTTTCTGGAAAGAGCAAAAAAAAACCTCACAATCTCAGTCTACCAGAAACTTCCCAACAACTCACCATCAACCGTTTCGGATACATTGGCCTTTCGGTCGTCGAGATAGAACCCCACCCGCTAGCAACGCAATCTCCGGAGAACTTCTCGTACTGCTTAGGAAGCTTAATCGGGACAATGAATCGATTCAACTCGAACGGTTTGTCAACCAGAATCAATCCGATGTCGAACGGGCAGACTCCACCGCAGTAACTGCGATGATTGGTATACTTGGTGACACGTCTCCGCTGTTCGTCACCATCGTTCACCGTAGTGTCGTGCTCCCCGGCGACGACCTCGATCCAGCCACGTTTGGTGTACCGGACGCGACAGTGAGCCGCCGTAAGGACCCAGTTCCGGTTCAGCAGAGATCCTCCGCAGAAATGGATCGGAGCACGGGGGTGGTTCGGTCCCAGGTTCCACTGGAGGGACATTTGGTACGGGAACTCGTAACGGTTGGCTTCCAGTCCGCCGATGATTTTATCGATGGTTGAATTTTTACCGGGATCAGAGCATGCTGGGAAATATACAAAGCCCATTATTCGTCGTTTTACGCGTTATTCAGTTATTCAGTCAAGAAAGCTGCTTTTAGTAAATCAATATATTTTGGTTAAAAATATGACATGTAACGGATATATTCTGGTTTTTCGGATTGATCATGGCTACCAGTCAGTGTAAGAAATATTGATCTGGATCATTATAATTTCGTTCAATGCTATATTTGCATAACGGCCGTTTGAAAGGATGTATGCAAACATATCGGAAAGACTAAAATCATGATACGGCCACTTAAGGGACACCAATTATAGGATTATTATTGAAAAATAATTTAGCTGTTTTTTGGATTTTATTCGCTCCCTGCGCCGCACCGAGTGTATCGCTCATTGTGTGGATCGATTTCTCTAAGATAAGTTGTAAAAGAGTGTGCGAAGCAATTTGGAGAACCAGACACTCTTGGTCGAGTGTTGTGCGATGCATGCCCAAAATTGCTTTGCAAACACTCTGAGACGCTCTCCAGCGCTGGCTATAAGTATTCAACCTAAATGATTAATTGAAGAAAATGCTATTAAGTTACGTGACCCAAATTGATAAGGAATACCTACTTTGTGAATTTAAAACCAGTTTTCTCAACAATTGTGCGTGTTTTAAAAAATCTCACTAGACGTATGGATTCAGGAAGCTCTATTCAACAAAATTCAAGCCTAGTATTCAAAGGAAGGAGCCAAAATCCATCTTGGCTGAACATAAAAACCAAACTTGCTTAAAGAAATAATCATCACGTATGGATTCAGCAAAAAGTCCATTCAATGAAATACAACATTATTTTTTAAATATATGAGCCGAAATGCAATTTGGCAGAACTGAAAAACCAAATTTCTATAAAAATACGTATGGATTCAGCAATTCTATGAAATCTACGCCTATTTGTCAAGGAAGGAGCCAAAATTTAACTTGGGTGATTAAGAAACCCAAAATTTCTTTAAAAATACGTATTTTTATGGGTGTAAACCCAATTTTCTCAACAAATGTGCTTGCTTAAAAAAATCTACCATCAGGTATGAACACACGAAGATCCATTATATAAAATCTCAGCGTAATTTTCAAAGGATGTGAATCTCACAAGAACGAGGAAGGGGTCTAGGGGAGCGGAATCTACGTTAAAAGTCAGTTAAATCACTTCAGTATAGCCTAGGCAACCCGGCAGCACCAGCAAATCAGCCAAGCAACTAACCGACCCAACGACGAGCAAGCAAGCCCTCTCCTTCTTCTGGAAGTGAGAGTCCCCAAGCAAGCCCTCTGTCGACGGTAACCAAGGCAACCACCGAGTACCGATCAGCAAACACCATCAGCCTACTACTTGGCACGGAAAGTCCTCTTATTTGAATAAGTAGTGCAATCCAGCCAAATCTCGAGTAGGATGATGCTCAGTTACGACAAGTAGCACTGCAGCAGATTTGAAAGTTAAGAAATTTAGATCGAATGCGAAAATCGGGCGACTACTGTGGGCTGAGCACATCGTAAACCTGTCGGATAACGACCCAATGAAAACGGTTCTTGGTAGCGACCCGACTGGAACAAGACGAAGATGTGCGCAGCGAAGGGGATCGATCAGATTGAAGGCGACTTACCTAGTGAGTTGCAAAATAAGATTAGGAATGATGTTCGATAAGATCCGTTTTCACCAACTGAACCGATTTCAAGGACCTGACATGCCGTACCGGTCTAGTACCAATTTATGTAAAAAATCTATAAAAGAACAAGGTGATATTCTACAACATAATAAGCAAAGCGAGTATCCATCCCCGAAGGCATTAGCGATACTCTATAGCAAAGGAACGATCCTGTTTTTACGATGGGAGGCAAAATCGGAGCAGCTCTAGGAGTCCGTGATGTTCCGTGATATTATTATACGATGCTTTCCGAACGCGAATATTGTTCTACCCGACTTAGTTACAAATAAAATAAAAAAAACAATTTATCACAATTCAGGGTAAACATGTCAGAAGGGTCTAACTCGAAACGTAAACAATGACTTGGATCGTCGATTTCTTAAGAATGACTACATACCCACTCAAAGTAACTAAATCATCTGACAGAAATATATTTGTTCAGATTCCGTGGGTGCAAGAGAAATCGACGTTCAAAGTCATTGTTTACGTTTCGAGTTATACCCTTCTTCTTTTTCATTTATTTAACGTCGGTCTCTGTTCCGCAATCTAGTGCAAATCCCCGAGGGTCATCAATTACCATCCATTGACGGCAATCGAATGTGCAGGAAGGCAGCTTCCACACCTGCGTAGGATATCGCACCCATTCAACATACATGGGCCGGGACCAACGGCTTTATTTTGTTCCGAAGGAAGACGTGACCAGAGATTTTTATGCCCCAGAAAAATCCCACCGACCTCGGCTGGGATTGAACCCAGACCCATTGGGGTGACAAAGCAGTCACGCTTACCACTACACCACCGGCGCCGGCTATTTCGAGTTATACCCTTCTGACATGTTTCCCCTGAATTGAATCTACACTTCACGGCGAATGAGAACGACTCAAATTTGAGTTTAGTTCACTCATAATCGCCAAAAGTGCAGGAACGCAGCGATGAGTTAAATTTGTCTTATGGTTTCCTGTGGAAAACCTAAAAAATCTGCCGGAAAATGAGGAAATTGACGAAAATTTTATTCAGTCTCGGAGTAGTACCAATAGACTGAGTGAATCCAATCTTTACTTTTCTCACCTTCTAGCATAGAGGTAACTCTAAGACTAGAAGGTCCCGAAATAACGTGCTCAACTTTTTGGCTCAGCTCTGGTACTCTCTTCGGTCCCAAGCTAATCGATTCACCCCTCGAAACATAGGAAAAACCAATAACCCCTCATTTTATCTGTCAAACTTTCATAGCGAATCAAAACAAACATAGTGTAGTAATAGAATTTCAACTAGAATAGGGTACGTTAATCGTTTGCTTGGGACCAATAGGCTACTAAAGTGGTGAGCCAATTTAAAATCGTAGTTTCGTATTGATTGTTGCTTGAACTCTTCAGCTAGCTCTTTTATCGGTCATTTGTGGTCCTGAAAGAACCGATGGCTTGGAAGCTTGGAAACCAGTTTAGAACAATGCTATGGAATTTTTTTCCTCAATGTTCTTGGATATGATAGCGGTGCGGAAATGAAATATGTGTTAGGGAAAACACATCAATCACAGAAACTGAGCATGTACCGTCCGGTTCATGCTTTTTATGCAAATTTTAAGCCTCTTCTATTAAGAGAATTCGACAAGAGGGCTTAAAATTTGCATCAAAAGCCATAAAGATAGGTACCGTCTGGCATGTTCAGTGCTCGGTATCAATATTCAGCGACTGTGTTAGGGAAAACACCAATGCACAGTGGTCCAGAATGCAGATTTAGGTGGAATGATATGTTTTGAGCCTGAAATTGAAACTTTAGACTAAAAGTCTCTTCTACAAAGTTGTTCCTTATAGTTAGGCCCTCATTTTTATGACAATGAATTCTAGGGTGGTTCCTATTATCATTAAAATAAAAAATCTAACTTTTTTGTTTGAATAAATTAAGGTATACATTCTTCGGCAAAGTTATAGCTGAGCTAATTTCAAGCAACTTTGTAGAAAATTACTTTTTTGTATCTCTTAAATTGGCCGATTAAGAGCTATTTTCTTGAATTGAGTTAGGGTGGCTCTTAAAAAAACAGTTTTTTTTGCTCTATTTTTCTTATTTCGAATTTCTCAGCAAAGGTGTCTTCAGATAACTTTTAGATCTTAAGAAGGCGCAGATTTTTGCTGCACAAAGCTTGTCAATATCTTTCGCCGATCAAGAGTTATTGACGTTTTTATACTAAAAATATGCACTTTTCAAATGTTAATATCTCTGTTTGGGACAAACAAAAAAAAAGTTTTTTTGCAGCATTTGAAAGGGCGTATGTTATTCTCAATAATATGAAAAAATTGGAGGTATGTTATTTTTTTAAACTCGTATAAAATCAATTTGAATTTATTCATATTTTTTACTATATTTGAGTATATCTTTTTTGTTAGAAAAGATACGGGCAACAAATCCAGCTATAAAACATTCGTCTTAAAGAGTTTTAAAAGTCTTTAGAAGATGACTTTCATGATAAATTTCAAATAAAAAAGTTATTGGCAAAAGATGGATTTCATAGGACCACTCTAATGACAAATTTGTATAAAATGTGCTAGTACATTTGTTTCAATATTTGGACATTTAGTGTCTTCGAAGAAGTTTTTGTTCTTAAAAATTCCCTTCTTTTGGTGTTTGCAAATGTCAGGGTGGTCCTCAAACTAGAGAATTTTTAAAACTAACTTTTTTGTTTTACAAAATAAAAACATGTACTGTTTGAAAAAGTTGTAGCTAAATTAATTGCAAGCAACTTTGTCGAAGAAAATTTTTTTCTATCTCTTATCGTTCTCATTTTAGAGTATTTTTTCGGAGTTGACTTAGGGTGTTCCTGGAAAAAATAGTTTTTTAGTAATAACTTTTTTATTTATAATTTCTCATGAAAGTTATCTTCTAGAGACTTTTAAAACTCGTTTAGACGAATGTTTTATACCTGAATTTGTTGCCTGTATCTCTTCTAATAAAAAAGATATACCCAAATATAGTAAAAAATATGACTAAATTCAAATTGATTTTATACGAGTTTAAAAAATAACATACCTCCAATTTTGTCATAATGTTGAGAAATACATACGCTCTTTCAAATGCCGTAAAAAAACTTTTTTTTTTGTTTGCCCCAACCAGAGATATTAACATTTGAAAAGTGCATATTTTTAGTATAAAAACGTCAATAACTCTTTATCGGCGAAAGATGTTGACAAGCTTTGTGCGGCGAAAACTTGCGCCTTCTTAAGATCTAAAAGTTATCTCAAGACACCTTTGCTGAGAAATTTGAAATAAGAAAACTAGAGCAAAAAAACTGTTTTTTCAAGAGCCACCCTAACTCAATTCAAGAAAATAGCTCTAAATCGGCCAATTTAAGAGA